GTTTTCATGAACGGCAGGTTGTGTGTGTGGTATGGGTGTCTGTGTTCGTTAGCTCTGAGAGTGAGGTGGTACTTTTTTATTTACTTTATGTTTTAATTTTATAAAAGCAACGTTTTGCTGCGTCAGATAGATTCTATCTGAGCGCCAGAAACTCCGGCTCTGTGGGTTTCTGACGATCTAGTTCTGTAAGTTCCTGCTTGTGTGTCCACGTCTTTGTAGAGATGAAGGCACCGCTCTTGGTTTGCAGACACGTAGGATGGGACGAGCATGGGTAATAATTTAGCATAGTTTGGTTTGGGTGTTTGGTGTTTTTTTTTTTAGTAAAACTTAAATAAGTGTAGACGATTTTTGTAGATATCTTCAAAATGCTGTCTGCCTGGGCACGTGTATGGAATTGTATGGGTTTTTTGATTTTTTTTTTTCCGTCTTCTAAATGGGAGAGAAAAAAAAGTCAAAGATGACTAACTTAAGTGTCTTATTCCTATCTCGCATTTCTCACTAAAGTATGTAGCTAAAACTTTTTTCTCCATGTGTACTTTTTTTAAACATATTGGACAATATTGGAGCATTTTTGGGGGAAGAAAATTAAGGCTTAGAGCCTCAGGTGGTTACTTATGCTTGTGCTTAGTGTTTTGGTCTGTCAGACTTTTTTTGGGTTTTTTCTTTCTTTTAAGAGTTAACTGTGGTGCATGCTTGTGTATTTTCAGGGTTTGTATTCATTGTATTTGCTTTATAATCTACTTACCCGTTTCAAATATTTGTTCTAATGTAACATTCCACCTCCCAAGCTTCTGCAAAACTTTCTAGAAAGTTATAATTAGGTCTTTGCTATAGAAGTTATAACAATTTTTATTTAAGGTAAGTGTATTTTGATTCCAAGTACCATTTTGAGGTACCAGTTACTACTTTCTGCCTTGGTTTTGAGTTTATGCTTACCAGTTAATGAATGCCTGAGATGTAGTGACAAAGCTAAGGTTAAAATAGGAGGCATTTGCTAGTGATTTTTAATCCTACCCATTAATTCTATGGAATTTAGAATCTGGAATGTATTTGATGGTGTTCTTTGGGAGAGAACATAGTTTGTATTTACAGTTTTTCTGTCTTCAATGTATTAAAAATGTGCATAATATAAAAATGAAAAAGATTTGTGCTTTTCAGCTTATTCTTTCCTTTTGTTTCTAGACCTTTTTCCAATATTTCTCCTGACTGTGGCCTTTTCCAAGTCTTACATATTTACCTCTTCTGTGTATGTGGAAAGATGTTAAAAAGGCTGAAGAATTGAAGTCAAGTCTTTTCTTAATGTGTAAGTCTAGTTTCTTCTTTGGTAATGTACATTTAAAGATCCCTATGATGATTTTTTATTTTTTTGCTAGTTGGTTGTTTCTAATAACTATTTTAATTTGTTTTGCTGCAGGTGCTTGTCGATAGTTGCAAGCTACCCATAATAACAGGTATAAATTGTAATTTGTGTGGTTAATTAGTTAAAGGAGATCTCTTATCAGGTTTGAATATACCCAACTGAGTCTCTTTGCCAGACATAAATGTTTTAGTGAAATGTTGCCCAGTTGGACCACACTGGCCTCATGTTAAAAGTGTGAGGCTTGTCCACTCTAACAGTTGATCCATTTCTGTTTTTTTTAGTGTTAACTGCATACATATTTCAGGTTTCAGTGTTTGACAGTATGACATTTTAACCTGAATGATAGGCAGCTACCATCCATTCTATGAATCTGTAATAGATGATTACAGATTGCATCATGCAACCTGTAATCTTCATATGTTGCATCTGTATATTAAAAAAGTTCTTCAAGCAAACAAGTTCTAGTTACTTATTCTTTTATGTGGGGATTCAGCTTGCTCCTGTTCAAATAAGGGATTTGCTGTTGACAAGAGAAAGCATTACAATACAGTACTCTTGGTGAAAATGGAATCTAACATAGATTTGTGCCCTTCTGAAGTGTTTTGGTTTCGAAAGATTCCCAAGGAGTGAGTGTGTGTGTGTATGTGTCTGTGGTTTGTGGTGCTGTTGGTTTGTTTGCTTGCTTGCTTAGTTTTTTGGGGTCAGGGTTGAATGTCAGATGTCTTGCATGTCTCATAGCTGGAGCACACAGTTCATAGAGTCGTCATAGAATACCAGTTTGGAAGGGACCTCAGGAATCATCTGGTCCAACTTTCTTGGCCAAGCATAATACAAACTAGATGGCCCAGCACCCTGTCCGGCTGAATCCAGTGCTGGGGAGTCCACCACTTCCCTGGAGGAGTTAACTGAATTTATTTAATACTGAAGTCTCTATAAAATGTCAAAGTCTGTTTTGACTTGAGCAGAAATGCCAATATATTTTCCAAAGGAATGCAATGAAGCATATGCTTAAAAGGAGTATGCTTTTCTTGCTATCTGACACATGAACGTTGTCTTGAAATGTTTTCAGTCTCCATTTTCTTTGTCAGGTATTTATATGTCTAGTGTTAGATGCTTCCTTCTCACAGGACTATGCGAAAATATTTGGAAGACCTTAGTGGTGATACTTACGATGGCCTGGAGCTCTTGCACTTCATCACAATGAGGGAGAGGATGTGATCATTCTTTCAGTTTGAATGAATAAATAGGATGATCTAATGAATTCCAAGTCTGTGTTGCTTCAGGGTGGGCAGGAGAATAGTGGAGAGAGAACTGCTGATCAGGTTTCAGCTAGCACTTTACTAACTTGCTAGTAACAGGAAAGTGACACTGTGATTTCTGCTATGGAAAAACTTTTTACTGAGAAGTGTTATATAGTAGTGTAGAAACAGTTCTTCAGTTTCACTTTTCAAAATCCAAGTGATTTTCACTGCTATTGTATTTCTGTTGGTTTTATGTTGACATGTGGGAGCGTTGTTCAAGCATAGACTTGAGCTACTATAAATTATGAGTGTAGCCTGTTATGGAAACACTGACATTAAGTCTGTAGCCAGACAATAATGCTGACCATACCTATTTGAGCCTCTTAGTCCATAGAGGAGTACTGTTGTCAGTCATGCACTTGTCCTGAAAAGATTAACCTATATCCGGGAACACATGGTGAGAAACCAGAGTTAACTTATATCTGTTGACCACTTCAGACTTGTGTGATACTAAAGGCAGGTATGTGGAAAATTCATAGTAGAGTGTGGTGGGTTTTCTGTTGTTGGTAATGTCTCATTAGTGAAGTAGATACTTTGTCAGATTTTTTTTGTTTTTTCTTTTTAAGCACAATAGTTAGCTACTAATAGAATAGCAAACATGAGTAATAAAAATATCAACTCCTGACTTGTTTTTAGTATTTCAGCTAGGTTCAGTTAGTGATCCATGTCACAGAGGAGGTACAGTGTTTATATTTGCTTGAGATCCTGAATAAGTAATAAATGCTAGCTTAATTTTTAAAAAGCAGCTCGTGTGATTTCTTAAGCTTACAGGCTGCCCTGGTGGGAGAAACCCCAAATTTGATGGCCTAGAATTTCAATGTGTTAATCTTTCAGTAGATGTTGTTCTTTAAAGCTTGTTTTTTCAAGGTTTATGTGTATTTTGTGGACACCCTTTCCGAACAACAAACCAATAAACAACCCCCCTCCAGACACAAGTAAACAAAGGTTACAGTTTAATATCTCTTTTTTGCCTCATCTCTTTTTATCTCAAATGCCATTATAAAAATCAACAACTTCCAAAATTGGCATGTATTTACTAATGAATTGTAATGGGTGTTCTAAGTGCATTAGTTTTAAAAGTAATACTGGGTTTGTTTTCTAATTTCAGGAGAATGAAATGGGGAAGTTCTAGAACCTTGAGAATAACTCGGCACAGTAGTCTTTATTGCTGAGGAACTAAATCTAATCTCAAGAAATCATTTAAAGAAAAGGAAAACCTAAAATCATGCCATCAGAAAAGGAACAGTTTTTTTGTGATAAAAAGCAAATTTTTTTGTTAAAACCTAATGCTGCGAAGAATTTTTCTACAGATACTACTTTGGAAAAAATAGATAATTTGGAAAAAAAGGATCATTTGGTGAACGATCCTTTAAGTGTGATAACTCAACCAGCAATTTTAGATGTCAATGTTGCTTATGAACTAAAAAATGTGAAAATTGATTTACCCAAGGTGAACATTCCAAACGAAGTATTATTGAAACATGAAGTTGATAGATTTAGAAGACTCTTTCAGTGTAAGCAGCAAACTGCAAGGAAGTCCTTAAGTCTAGAGAAAATAAATGGAAGCAATCCCAACTGTTCAGAGGGAAGCCACTTGCAAAATAAACCAGAAGTGCAATTTGAAGAAGGGTTGAAAACTACAGCAAAGATACTGAATTTCACTTGTACAAAGTGCAAGGATAATATCAGATACAGCCCAAATGATCTGCAGAAACATTTTCAGCTGTTACACTATGGCGAGTTGCCTTTGTATCCTTGTGAGATGTGTAACTTCGCAGCCAATGACTTCCAGTCATTTAAACAGCATAGACGCACCCATCGTAGCACTTTAGTAAAATGTGAGCTCTGTAATGATGAGCATATGTACACTTTGTTGGATTTGACAAAACACTTCACATCAAAGCATTGTGCAAATGGTCACTTTCAGTGTGAAAAATGCGGGTTTTCTACCCGGGATGTGGGTACATTTGTTCAGCACATTCACAGACATAATGAGATTCCATATAAATGTGGAGAATGTCATCACATAAGCTTTACAAAAGAGGAGTTCCAGGAACATCATCTTGTTCATACCAGAGTGTTTCCTTTTGGTTGTCAGTATTGCAGTTACAGGACGCCTCGGAAAGATTATCTCTTAAAACACATCATAGCTTTGCACAGAGAGCACTTATATGCAAAAGAAAAACTGGAAAAGGAGAAATGTGAAAAAAGAATAGTGAAGACACCAGAAGGACTGAAGCTTGTGTTAAGAAGGTATAAAATGGGAGCATCAAAAAAACCACTCTGGAGACGGAAAAAAATAAGCAGTGAAAGTGACGAAACTGGAGAAAGCAATGCACAAGTGCTACGAAGCGTGAATAAAATTCAAACAAAAGCTGACGAGCTGAATCAGTGTATGAGAGGTGTGGAAGCAAATGAAGGAAAAGATCAAATTATGTATACAGGAAAGCATAATTTCACGGGTGGAATGTTCTCTGCTACTGCTTCACAATACAATAAAGCAGATGATGGAACAAGTTACGGCCTAGGATTGTTGAAAAATGCTGTTCACGGGCCAACGGTATTGATGGTAAAAAACAATAAAATATCTGTTCCAGCAAATTATAGTGCTAAATTTATGGGATTTAAAATGGTAGATGGAAAACAACATATTGTTATAAAGTTGTTACCTACGAGTAAGCAAAATGTACATTTGTTGGGTCAGAAAGCTGATCCTATTAAAGATGGGTCTCCAACTCCTTTGCTACAGACTGCTGATCCCTGTGGCTTGTCTTCCGGTGCTATACCACATGTAACTGATCAGTCAACCTTAAAGAACAATTCTGTTCCCCCATTAACCCCCCCTCCATTTTCTTGTTCTGCTTCTCATTCAGGAAAAACAAAAGTGGGAAAACAAAGTAACTCCTTATTGTATGATAGGAGTGTTTCTCAAGCTGTAGCACCTTCTAATGTAGCTGTAGGAAAAAGTATGAATTATTTGCCAATGAAGTTGGGCTCAACTGTACCTCCATGTGGTGAGGTGACAAAAGTTGGAACTCGAAGTAATATCTCGTGGGGAAGCTATAGTCCTCCAAATCACCCTCAGGTATTGCCATCCACTATTACAAATATGCTTCACTATGACCCTATGAAAATGCCCTTCTATCCTAAACTGAATATACAAAATGGTGGCCTGAGTAATAGTAATGGAACTAACGATCTCTATTACCCAAATTCAGTGGATTCTTCTAATGAAGGATTGCTGTCTTTTCACAACTATTCCAAAATGGACACTTCAGATGATCCATGTAGCATTTGGATGTCAGCAGAAGACAGATACAAAGAATTTATATATAGCAAAACACTTCCTTTTCAGAAGAGTAGAAGCAAATCTGCATCTTCATATTCAGAGCCAATGAAAGGCTTAAAACCAGAGAAAGCTGTATCAATCCAATCAAATATTAATAAAACGTATGGACATGTACACACTAAGAAGAACTCTGTATCTTCTAAAAGCCAATCCAAATGTGGTGTTGACAGCGAGTGTTTTATGGAGGACCAGCATAATGGCCAGCAGTATTTGGATGCTAACAACTGTCAAGGCTTTGAGAACGTAGCTGAGAAATTCCAAGAAAATGCCTCTGATTGTGTTAACTCAGTCTTAATGCCTAAAATCACATCTGTTTTCTCATTGCAGAGTGAACAGGCATCTAATTATTTATCGCCTGAAATAAACCAGTTACTGCAAGATGTGTTAAAAGTGAAAGCAACTGCTCAGCAAGAATCCCACAGCAAATCAAATAACTGCATAAAACTTCATTCTGACAAGCTGCTTTCTGGTCACAAGATGGGGAATAAAACCTTTACGCATTTAAAAAGCTCTGCAACTTCATGTGGTTTTCAGAGGCCTCCTCCTAATGTAGACTTCCAGTTATATAAGAGAGAGTTGAACACAAGATGTAGCAGAAATGAAGGTACGCATTGTGGGAGAGAAAAACAGACGCCCAGAACATCATATGCTTCACAGGGAATGCATATATTATCCAGAACTCCAGGTGCTGGTACATTGCTGAAGAGTCCTACAGATACAATTGTAACACAGCAATTAGGAAAAGAGAAAATACGGTCTACAACCCCAAATCCTTGCAGCTTGTCGCCAGTTCTTCAGGAACAGAAGAAACCGCTTTTAGTTCAGACTCCTACATCAAGATTTTTTGTTCCTTTGCACCTTGCTAACCAGCCTGGACTACGGGTGGTTTCAGGAAAATCACTTCCGTCAACCAGTTCGTCAGATGGGCATGTGACTAAAGGTGTACCAGCATCTTTTGTCTTAAATAAGGGACCTGGAATGATTTTGACTTTTAGCAGGGCAATTGGAACAGTTGCAAATGTACCTAGTGATAGTTCTCAGGTTTTAGGGAGAGTTGCATCCGGAGAATATGGTAAAATAACCATGCCAGCTTCAAAAGTGGAGGGGAAAAATGTCAGTTTCAGAAGCATGAGAAGTTCTTGTAATGGGAAAGCATGTAGTACAGCAAATGACTCATTGAGTAGCATGCCATTCAAAGGACCTCTTGTAATTAAAGACTCATCAGAGTCGACTCTGAGAGGCATTTCTTCTGTGAAGGTGTTACCAGAGCATCAGGATGCTGTTAGTTGTTCCTTGGAGTCAGTAAACCAACAGGAAATTAAACAGAAACAACATGTTTATGCACTTTTGCCTGATGTACAGCAGGCAGTTCTTCTGAAATGTGTGACACCAAACAAGCCTGTAGTTCATAAACATAGTGTTTTTCAGGACAATGCTCATTGTCAACCAAAGAAAACTGGAGCCATGCAACAAAAGCTTTTGCTGAAAATTAAGACTTCAGATACACTGGCTGATACCACTCAGTCAGTAAGCAACTCAGTGCCCTCACTACAGTTGGATAACTTGCAGTCCCTTACTCCTCCACTAGCACAGAAACAAACTAATCTTACTTCTAATGATGCCTTAATCTTACCAGGTAGGTTAATGCCAGCAGATGCCTCTTTGGCGAGCTCTAACCCAGCATGTTGTGTTCCTCCTGTAGAACCTGTTTATTCTGCTAGGTCTGCAGGGACATGGTTGCAGAATGTTTCTCTTGAGAGTACTGCTAACAACAGGAATAACTTTGGTAGTCAGAAGTCCACATGGAGCACCCGAAGCAGGACTGCAAAAGTAAAACCTCATTTAAAACAAACTGGGTCTAAAAGTTGTGAAACCGTGGGTGTGCAAAGAAAAAAGAATTTCAAACGGAAAAGTAAGGATAATTGCCCAGAACCTCCAAGAAAGAAAGTAATGTTGCACAGAAAGTGTAAAGAAAAGAATCAGGTTGAAGTTCTTAGTGAATCAGGTGTCCCTTACAAACTGAGGGCATCGAAAGAAACTGTGAGGACTTTGAAATTACTTCCTTTTAACTCCAAACAGCTTGTAAAATGCCCTCGGAGAAATCAACCAGTTGTTGTGCTTAACCATCCTGATGCAGATGTTCCTGAAGTTGTAAATGTAATGAAAACCATTGCTAAATTTAAGGGACATGTTCTTAAGGTTTCATTGTCGAAAAGAACTATTGAAGCGCTTTTGCAGCCAGCTTTCTGCAATCCTTTGGACAGAACTACTGATGATCTTTCTCAAAAGAGGCACAGGACAATAAAACCTATTAGCCCTGTAAAAGAAAGGTTTGTCTTAAAATTGACACTGAAAAAGACTAGCAAAAACAATTACCAGATTGTAAAAACTACCTCTGATAATACCTTGAAAGCTAAGTTTAGCTGCTGGTTTTGCGGTAGAATATTTGACAATCAGGATAATTGGGTAGGACATGGACAGAGGCATTTGATGGAGGCTACTCGAGGCTGGAATTCATTAATGTAATGACCAGTGAAGAAAATAAAACCTAGATATTATACATTACAGTTTTTTAAAAAGAGAATCAGCTGAACTAGGATACACAAGTAATTTTGTTTTGTATTTCAGTATTGTAACTGAAGTTTAGAAAAGAAGCAAAGTGCTTGTGCTTTAAAGAAGAGCAGATTCTCTGTTGCCATCAAGCTTTGAGACAGATCAAGGAGGTTTGTGGTTTAGATAACTTGTAACTAACTGCAAATACAATTCCATAAAAATACATTATTTTTTGTTACTACTATCATGTCCTATATTTTTATTCTATAGAATGAGTTTTCAGGGCTTTTATTCTGTATATATTTAAAAAAACCTAAACATGTAAATATTTTTATACCTTTCAGTTATTTGTTATAATTCTTGCACAGAAATTGCCCCTCCCCCTATTTTTTCAGTTCTGTGCATGCACTACTAAAAATAGTTTTTAAAATCTTTCCAACTACACACAGCTGTTATCCTGGGATTTTTGTTATTTTCACTTGTTAACTTTTGATTTTGTTTTTCAGGGATTGAACACTATTGTTAGCAAGTGCCTAAAAGATGTGAAGCAGTTTACATTATGTCAACTGTGTAACCATAGGTCTATATAGGGCCATTTCCCCAATAGTTTCATTTAAACAAAGCCATATGTGAATGCTTTAAGCTATGCACATGACACTTGTACTATTTCTGTGCAGTTTGTCTACTTTCTTAGTGAAGTATTTTTCATATAAATTAATAAAACGTTACGATTGTGGTAATATGGTGAGCCTGAGAATGGAATCAGTTGAAAAGATAGAATATATATATTCATAATGTATATGGTGTTTAAGAATGGTGAACATTCCTAATCTGTATTGACTCTCTCACTATTAAATTTGTTATAACTTGTGTTTACAGATTATGACTGAGCATTTATAGAAAATACTTTTGTACCATCTCTGCCACAAACTATAGGAAGGCCAGGATATGGTAAAGTGCAAAGCACCATTTTAGACCTGTAACTGCGTTGCAGTTTTATTATAGGTGGCTGTAATTTGTCCCCATAATGACTAAATAGTATTTTCTACTATTGCTTATTCAGGTGAACTGCCTTTTAGGGTACCAGGGGTTTGGCAAAACCAAGGCTTGAGTTATTCCTCTCTTCTTCCACTGGCCAGTAGGGTAATATTCCTAGGAGCCTGCTTGCTTCCTACTTACAGTTCTAGGGATAATGATGAAGGGAGAATATGCTTCACATTTCTTAACATTTATGTGAAGGTATGTAAGCAGAAGACCTGATCTTAGCCATGGTGACTGAGAGTATATCCACAGTAATTACTATGTTTAGAGGCTTTGTCCTCCAGATTTTTAACGAACCCAGTCTTCAGTGGGAGTGTCCTTACCATACGGCACCTTTTGCCCGAGTACTGGAAGGTTACATCTTAAGATGTGTAAGTCAGCTTCCCAAAGCATTGGTGGAAGAACTGTCAGAATTGAATACTGGACTTGGGGAGGACTGGGGCATTTAAATCTCTGAGGTTCTAGATTGTGTGCAAACCTTGGAGTAGTTCTCTGTGACTATTTCTGGAAGGTAAAAGTGAAGATTGACTTGCTACCAATAAAACAATTGGAAGTCTTCCATGGATGTCACAGGCATATCACCAGTAACAGAATTTGATTTATGTTACATTTTGAAGGGTGTTACAATGAAAATGGTTTAAAAAAAATAAAAATCTTCAGTATCTATCTTCAGTAGCTAGCTATGTTTTTCTTGATGTGTCTGTTGGCAAGAAGATGCAAGCTAGCCTTGTAGCTGGTGAGTTATGTATGGGAGTCAGCTGAAGTACCTGAGACAATCAAGACATAGTTTGGGTGAATTAATATACAATTGGTGTGTGTTCTGTATCAAAATCGGTTAATTTTGTGCTGTACAATGGGCTTGAGTTCTGACATTGGCTAGGAGTTTTGAAGAAGACTAGCGTAGTGGTGAGGAAGTGTGTTGGAAAGAAACAGCATTAGGAAAGCACGAAAATGAGTTAAGCTTTTTTGACTAAAGGGGTCTATTGGTTGCCTCATCTTGTAAATCCTGAAATTGAACCCCTGAATTCTGGACATTGCCATTGTCTTCTTTGGCAGAAATACCTGTGAAGTTTGTTGATAAAAACTACTTGGTGGAACTACAGCAAAGATGACCAATTTTTGTTCAGTTTACTTAGCATCAAGGTGGAAATTCTGTGTAGCAGTAGTGGGTTTCTCTATATTGATGAATCATGAGGGTGACAACTGTCACTGGAATTTTTTTCCCCTCAAGCTTGTTTTTCAATGAATTTGGGTAACCTTAAACAATACTGTGAAAACGGACATTTTAAAGCTAGGAAATTTTGAAATAAGATTGCTTTATGTAATCTTAATTCATTGTCATGTGTCACTTTTCTGTGACCATACATCTCATTCAGTGCAGAGAATTGTTGTTCCCTCCTGACCAGTGATTGAATATTTTGTTTCCCCACCCGTAATTATGTCCTTGCATTATTTAGCACATATTGTTCAAGCACTCTTCTGAATATGTAATTCCTTTTTTCTTATGAGCTTTTCCAGAATGCTTTGTTTGAGATCCTAGGAGTTTGGCACTTGCTTAATACAGATCAGATTTCAAAGAATTTCAAGTGAGACTTCAATGAAATTCAGATCACAATTAATGATCGTCGGGAGATCTGACCAGCATTGCCGTGGGTGGTGCAGGGACAATATACAGTTCTTCAATGAAATGTTCAACTGCTTTAACAATATGAGGCTACCTTTTCACAGGCTGACTCTTGCAATGTTTGTTTGCACATTTCTCAGCATCTTTTATAAATGGGAAAGGTGTATCTTACAAATACTCTACAAATCACAGTCTTTCATTACACAGCTATTATTTATCCCTGAAGTTTTGTGTGGACCAAGTGAAATACATAAATCCATATTGAAAAATAGTCAATGATCATATATTGAATGCTTGCATTATAATGGATATATTTGGTGTGACAAATTAAGTTTGCACAGGTAACCTGATAAGAAGAACGGTTTGAGTGCTTGACTTTGCAACCATAACATTTTAAGATCACTTGTAACATTGTGTGTATAGCAAGATAAGAAAACCTTAACTTGGTTATAGACCTTAACTTGGTTATAGCATTTTGGGACATACAGAAATAGGTGCAAGTGGGGGGTCAACAAGTGTTTGTGCAGTATTCATGTGTTTGTGTAAAGTGGCCTTAAAGAAACCTGAAACCTAATCCACTGTATATTCTTTGCAAGATGTGTATTCATCAGTAAGTCACAGTTTCTTTTCCTGAGCAATTCCAGTGTTTTAACAGAAAACTTGTGTTCAGTATTTGTTCCACAGCTGTTGTCATGAGACATGTTCTTTTACAACACTTCCTAAGAATCTCTGCCTGCTGCTGGTGGCTTAGATTGAAGGAGGAATGTAGTTTTGTAACTTGTATGTCTGAACACTTGGATCTTTGAGAATGCAAGTTCTTACTCCTTTCATGGAACAACATTGTCAGGAATGATGTACAATATTCATTGTACTCTCCTTTCTGTATCAGGTAGGCAGGCAACACTCCTGCTCCTTTGCACCTTAGTGAATATGATACTTTGCCCTGTGTTCTCAGGCAAAAAATACACTTCTTTTTAAAGCCAATTTTATAGTTCTGTCTCCCCTTCCCCCCCCATTCTGTTGCTGGCAATTATATGGAAGAGACATTAGCTGACAATATCAAAGAAATGTGGAGGGAGAGGTGGGTTGCTGTGTCTGTCAGAGGTCAGACTTGCTTACTGGTGGAAACACCGGATAGCATTAACTAGTGGCAGCTGCTAGCACTGCAACAGTTTTAAGTTTCAGGTACAGGATTGCATTGAGTTACCATTTCCTAGGTTCTGTGTTGGCTGCTGAATCAGTAGCCTTAGGATTTTTAACACTTTCAACAATTTGTTTTATATCCTTGCAAAATGCAAAATTAGCACTCAGGGATGAAGCATGCTATGGTAAAAGTGGTAACTTGGTGCAGTCCTATACCTGAAAGGCTCAAGCCTTTCTCTTCTCCAGCTAAAACTGTTTCAAAGTGTCTCTACACCACAGTCTGCCCAAGCTATGAAAGATCTGTCTTGGGCATGGAAAGCAGAGTAACTAATTTGCTGCTTTTCTTCCTGGATAAAACTGCATATAGTAAAATAGGTGATTGCATACTGGTGGGCTTGGTATCATCCCCCCTGAGCTTTATTTTGTGTCTAGAATGTGCTCAGGATAAATGGATTACTTCATGGAGAGTGGTGTTGCCTATCAAATCCCTGCCTTATTTTGTTGTCAAAACTGTAAGGTACCCCTGTAATGATGTAGAATGTGGCTAAAAAGAAGGGTTTAAGGATTATAGTTGAATATTTATCTAGAGCATATTTGTAGATCAGCCATAAAGTTACACATAGTGCTGAGGGGCAGGAGCAGCAGTGCTTTGAATACAGAAAGGACTCAGTATTGCTAATTACCTTGAATACCTGATACTTTGTCTCTCAGGTGGAAGTCTATAGGTACACTTGAGTTTCACTTTTCATGCTTTTTTTTCCCCACAGCTCTAGACCGATGGCAATACTACACATTTAACTCTGAAAGCAATGCTTGAAGAATCTAGACACTTTCGTGAGGAGCAACATATAAAGGTTAACAAGAAACAGTTTTGTTAAGAAAGTTTAAATACGGTGCAGTATGTGAGTGAATAAGGTGAGGACTCTACGTGAATGCAAAAAAAGCTAAGTATTGAGTGGCTGCTTTTTCATGGGAGTATTTCCCACTGTGAGTATTGCTCAAATTAGTAACATAAAATGATGTTTCATGTAACTAAACAATATCAAGAGTACACATAGAGAAGTAAATTAACCTTGCAGAGACTAAGAACTTACGTTAATTTTCAGGCCTTGACTTTGCAATCTTGATGGTCTAAACATTAGTACTAAGTGTAGTATTAGTATAA